TGGAACACCTCGCCTTAAATATTATCGTTATCGTTATTTACTGGCTGGTGTGTTCGTTAGTACATTAGAGCCACCTGGAGAATGGTCCTCCACCTTCTTGTTTCACCGTAACATTAACAACCCTAATGCTAACCTAACTAGGGGAGGTTAATCTTCCTGTGGGATAAGCGGGGAAGGGGAGGGAGGGGTGATAGTCGCCAAGTTATATAATTCAACACATCACTCCTAGATTCATGACGCTTGTTGTTAATGTTATAATGTATTACTGTGTTTTAGTGAATAAGGAATTTAAACCCGTTGTCTAGGTTAGTTATAGTACATATATTTGTCATTAACAGTTAAAATTAAGAGTTACGTTTCAGATCCGACATTATTTTTCCCGTCCTGTGATAAGTTTGACAAGTGTTTTGCATCCCATTCCCGTTTTAGTAGTCTTCATTCTCCCACTGTCGAACGAGGTAGATTTATTGCCAGCCAACATAATGGCGAGTTTGTGTAGCCCATTGGAAATTTTGATTTATAATTGCATGGTTGGTATTTGGGTCTCTAACGTGTGTGTATGAACGCGCGCCAACCTTACCTGGCGACCACTACACCAATCAGGTCGTTACTGTTTACAGCCCCCCCCCCATGGCTAGTGAGGCTTTTGTCAGAAGATAATCAATAAAACCATAAACACAGTAGAGTGGAGTAATAATTCATTTTCCATCGTTGTAATTTAATATTCATGAGTTTGTTTGTAAGTCTTGGGATCACTGTGGTCCATCACGTCATCAGTCTGGATAATGTCGTGAATAGCTTGGACCACCACCACCACCACCACCCACACCCATCCATATTTATCCTTAGTCCAGACACCTGAAGGATTGTTTTGCGTTGTGTGTGTGTGTGTGTGTGTGTGTGTGTGTGTGTTCGGGCTACCTTGAGTGATGATGTGAAGGCGTTTTTAATTTTTTTCTGTTAATTTTTTTTCAAGGTACATTATACAGCTTAAAGATTATTATTATTATTTTTTAAGTATATAAGTGTCTATTATGATGACCTTGTAAGTAGAGTGTATAGTAAAGTGGTGACATAGTGAGTGAGGGATGTTTCTGCGTGGTGTGGTGTGGTGTAGGAGAGGTTAAGGTGTGGTTGTGATGACCATCGTAAGTCAACACCACTGTTAATTAAACATTTACTCTTGTGTTAAGCCATATTGATTTTCTTGACCTTCCATTGTGTAAAAACAAATTATATTTCCTTATTTTCCCCTTGACGTATTGTTCCTTATTTTCTCCTTGACGAATTTTTATTATTTTCCCCTTGGCGAATTTTTTTTTATTATTTTCCCCTTGACGTATTGTTCCTTATTTTCCCCTTGACGATTTTTATTATTTTCCCCTTGGCGAATTTTTTTTTATTATTTTCCCCTTGACGTATTGTTCCTTATTTTCCCCTTGACGTATTGTTCCTTATTTTCCCCTTGACGTATTGTTCCTTATTTTCCCCTTGACGTATTGTTCCTTATTTTCCTCTTGACGAATTTTGTGTCGAGCTTCTGTGATAAATGGTAGGACACATAACATTAAATCCTCTTCAATATTTTTCTCTATTCTTTTTAAATTACTTAAGCATACCAGAAGCTGTATGTTTAGGTGTGTCATCACTTCGTACACTTGTCCCATCCTCCTGGTGTGGTGAATGTGGCGCAGATAATGTTTTCTCGCTCCCCACAATCCTCCTTTTATTGTAGGAGTGACAATTTGGTGCGTCCAACATGGAAACCAGGAGGGTTTTTTTTTTTGGGTGCGACACTGATGGCATTTGTTGTGGTAAGATAGTCGGAGGGTATAATCGGGGGGGAGGGGAGACTCGACACTAAGCTTGTGTAGTACCATCAACCCAGCTGATTACTTCACCGTGTTGTCAGATAGCGCCGCCTGCTGGTGTGTTCCGCGTCGCTTGTTCTGCTTACAACTCACCTGCCCACATCTTGGCCCGCAGAAGACCCGAGGCGGTAAATGATTGTGATCTGACAGTAAGGTGTGGTGTGGTGATCTTATAACGACGCGATAAAACTTCACCTTCTTATGAAAACACGGTGCAGGTTTGTCACTGAGGAATATAAAGGTTGGCACAATTTAAATATCGCCCGGTATTTTCAGTGGAGGTACACAATGGTACTCCCGTCTGTTTGTAGTATATGTTCCCGTTCTGTAATTAAAGAAGAGGCTCATTGTTGGTGTGTTACTGCTTTTTTAATCATTGTGTGTATGTATGTAGCGAAGACTTTGGAGTCTATCATTGGGCCAAAATTTATTTCCAACACCAGAATTTCTGTACAGTACTTATTTAAGTTCCAGGATTCGTAGCTGGCATGGCACTATCATATTTAGGCCGAAAGACACTCTACATATATCTCATTGACACACACACACACACACACACACACACACACACACACACACACCTTAGCTTCCACAACAGTGGTGTGCAAAATGTAAACCCTTAATATGACCTCTCAATTAATGAAGGCTTCGCGGAACGCACTGAAAGTCGACTAGGCAAGCATGAACTCTGCATGCTTCCCTGTTGGGCGCTTTAAACTCTTTCTGCGCTTCGCCTTGCACAGGATCAAAGGGGTGCCCAATAAACTTGCCCCCTCACGGGGAAAATTGTAATTGTATAGTTTTGTATTCTACTGTTATCTCGGGGCTGAGTGATGTGATCAGCATTTTCTATAACGCTGGTTAATCGCATGGACAGATCTCGTCACGGGGTCTCTTGAGAATCATTCTATTCTCGGCCATCGCGAGAGACGATTTGACGGGATTTTTCAGTACTGTTGGCCACAGCCTTGCTATAAATATTTACAACAGTTCTCTACTCTCCTAGTACCGTTTAGCAATTTGTCTATCCGTCCGTACAAAATGTTTCCCCTCAACCCTTCAAAAAAGATAAAGCTTCATATAATCTACAGTGCGTCTGGATTGTGTTTATTATTATTATTATTTGTCATTTGTGGCTCCAGTCTCACGTGTGTGAACTTTGGGACGAACGTTGTGTGTTGCGGGTGTTTATAAACCTTCCACTAGCAGATTTTTTCTGATTTTCTTATCAGGTAACCGTCGTGTGTGTGTGTGTGTGTGTGTGTGTGTGTGTGTGTGTGTGTGTGTGTCAGATTTTCCTGCTTGATTGTCTTAACTTATGCCTCTTATACCTGTTCTTACCGTAACTATTTTAACTTAAGAAATTTTCTGCAGTATTATCTTGATTTATAAATCTTCTTTTATGTCAGCTTATTTTCAGGGGAAGTTTTTCCGTTTTATTGCCTCACCGTAAATTCTGTGTAGGTCAGGTACCGTATATCCCAGCTCAGAGGGCGGGTGGTTATAGTGTCGGACAGGCTGACGAGTCGTGCCTTCTGTGCTGGTAACGTCTCTGGCAGATTTCCATCACATGAAGAGGGATTTATATTTAATTAACAACTATTACGATACTACAAGACCCAGTGTTTAGCGAGGGATAATTGGTATTCCTAATGGCCTAAGAGGAGGTTTCAGGCATTTTACAACTAGTTTGGTAAGTTGAGCTGCGACTCAACGTTTATGAAGCAGATTCGGAAATAATTGAACCCCTTTCGGGAGTACATAATGATGAGCGAAGACGATAAAGGAGTTTTTTTTATTCAAGGCTTTTCTGAGACCGAACATTTATGAAACAGTCTGGGTAAAAGGTGGAAATATTTCTTGGAATCTTTACATTATATTGAGCGAAAATGATGAGGCAATTTTTTCCCCTTTTTTCCAGCATGAGAACGATCATTTATGAAGCAGCTTGTGGGATAATTGAAGCTGTTTCACGGATGCATAATATTGAGCACAGGTGATAAAGTAATACAGTTTAGTAGGTTGTGAGAGGCGTGGCCCCCTGAGCGAGGGCGAGAGATTGGTGTTAGAATACGTAAGTGTGGTGGTGGCCGGCCAGGGCTATCATTTGGCCAGCGCCTCGGCAGGAGAGAGAGAATCGATTTTCACATGAGAAATTTACGAGACGCTACACCCTCGCCCCAGTATACGACTGAGGCAAAAACCAGAAGACATAATTTGGACTGATAATATTTGTTGATGGCTGGAAATTTTGGGCGGGGTTGAGTTTTGTGTTGTTGTGAGGCCTCCAGGTGGCTGTTGTAGCTAAACGACAAGTAGATGAAATAATTGGACTTATCAAGATTATATTAATTAACATTTTGATTATGATATGTGGCTGGTGGACTTAAAGTCTCGTTGTAATTCGCTAAAATAGTAAATATTATAGTACATATATCAGGGCAGTATATAGTATAATGAATTTATATTTCAAATTTTAAAGTTCATTATAAAACAGAATATACCTAAACAGAGGGAGACGAATCACCAAAAAATGAAACACAACAGAAGTAATATTAAGATGAAAACAAAAAATCGTATGTTACATCAAGCAACACTTCTCACCAGCTTCACATACAGTGTTTCATCCTGTGTTGCCTACAGAGAATAATGATGGAAGTGGCTACACACCAGCCCTGGCACGCACTATGCCTGGTTGTCATAGTGAGATACACCACGGAGCAGGGAATACAAATTAGACAACCTCACATCTTCAGCTTAGTTGGGTTAGGTTAGGTTTGTTGCTATAAATGGTTGTTATGTACACAGGCTGAGAGTTACCCGGCTCTAACACAAATTATTTAAGATTCTGACTTCAATTTTGTTCTGTGAGACGTAAGATTTATTCTCAAGGAACTGACCACATGTGAACATTAACTAAAAATGTGTAGTACGTTATTACTCTATTTATATTCTTACGACTCACACTGTATGCATGATGTGTTTAGTGAATTATTAATAAGATTGTAAAGCAAATATAACAAATGTTTATTCTGGTGACTTCCTTAACGTGTGCTGAGGAATATTATATGTTATTTAAAAGGTGTTGATAGTACAGTAGTATTAATACTGTATTTGTGTTTTCTGCAGGAGTGGCATGTGGGTGATGGCGCGGGCGGTGGTGGTGGTGGGTGTGGTAGTGGTGGTTAGTGTGGGTGGACAGGAGCACCACAAGTGGGACTACCTCGACTCCTCCCTCAACAACACCAACGGCAGCTCGTCCTCCACCACGGCCTCCTCACCCTCCACCACTACGTGGAAACCATCTGTTGCGCCGCGCATATTGTGCGAGGAAGCACGCATTAAGTGCGCTCTACGGGGCGGATGCGGCATGGCGCTGCAAAACTACATGCTGGGGTGCGCTGATCTGATGAGTGGCCGCATCGACTATTGTGACGAGTACTGCAAGAACTCCCTCATCGCCCTCACCTCCACCGAGGAGGGTCACATACTAATGGACGTGAGTCACTACACCCATACCCACGTGTAAAACTCACCTCAAAACACCACCTTTTTATTATTACAGCATTACTGTACAGTACTCGCTCGGGCATACACTACACTACGTGCCCTCATAAAACAGGATAAATTTTTCTTAACATGTAATTGATTTATGTCAAATTTTTCAAGTTAAATCTTTTTAGAACACCTTGTGTTAAGCTTAATGTTTATAGACTTGAGTGTGAAGACTCCCTCGTATTTACTTGACATTACGACACACACCGTATTTACTACTGTAACATATGTGTTCTGCTAAGGTACTTGCCTCGCTTAACAAGGTCTCCAAAAATTATTTATCATAGTCATTGGTGACGCCAGTGGTGTATTTATAGATGTTTAACACTACATAATTACTTGTCCACGTAAAAAAAAAACAATAAAACAAATAGTTTCTCTGATACGACGACTTGGGGCAGAGATTACTGGAGATAAAGATGGGCGAGGCAGCAGTGGTCCAGCCTTCACTCGGGACTCTCAAACCTTTATTTATTTCTCACAGTCTTGGTGATATTTCGACGTCAGTGTTGACTGGCCACCCTTGTACCTTAGCTTTAGTATATAATCCACATTGATTCCCACATCTCCAGTCAGGTGAGAGGAGGGGGGGGGGGGACATTGTATACATACCTGGGAGAACTCTGGCCCGAGACTAGATCATGTTACCACTGCACCATTGTCCCCCACACACCTCTCTCACACCATGTTATACTTTTCTCTTATGTAAAACTTGTTGTGAGACGTTATTGAAAGTGTATAACATTGAGAATAATATTGTTTGTGTATTTTTTCTCGATTTATATCTAACTTTTGTATACAATTTCTTTCTTTTCTACAGTGTGTATGTAGCGACGACTACTGCCGGGAGACGAAGGCGCGGGTGGAGGTGTGCCGGGAGGAGGTGGTGGTGGCCAATGCAGACTCGTCGGTGGTGTCCTGTAGTGTCGCTCACTGGATCTGCTCAGCTGACACCCTCTGTTCCACCGCCATCGGCTACTACGACCGATTTTGCCGCAAGATGTTTGCCGGCAAGGGGTAAGTCAGAAAGAGAGAGAGAGAGAACCCTTTTAGAGATTTCCTATTAAGTAGAAATTAGGTGACATTACCCCATTAGTCCAGTGAATTTACTCTTAAACTGTATCAAAATAACTCTAAGAGAAAAGCAACCCCCTTGAAGTACTGCCAGTAACCACTCTTAAATTTCGTTAACATTATACCAGATAAATTGTAGGTTAGGTTAGGTTCTTGGCCCGAAATGATGAACGATTTTGTCAGCTGTATATTACTCTCTGTCGTTTTGGATGGTGTGTATAGAAATATGGTGTTCCCTTGAGTAATACATCTTTTGGTAATTCACTTGGATCTCCTATCTCTGTGTTTTGTCACACGAAGCTTCTCAGAATCACAGATATCGAGCTTGTTTCCTGGGGTTGTCACATAAATATATTCTAGACCACACACACACACCTTGGGCTCGAGATTTGGCGATGTGTGTCGTGAAAGTTCTCAGGGCCACACACCTCGGGGTCTCGTTCTTTGGGTTTTTTGTCTTTGAAAGTCTGCAGGGTGGCCACACGTCATTGTTCTCGTTTTCAGGTTTGAGTCTCGTGAAAGTTCTCAGGGCCACACAGCTTGGTTTTTCTTTTTCTTCTTCATAAAGGTTCTCAGGGCCACATATCTTTGGGCTGTGTGTCATGGGGGTTCTCAGGGCCACACATCTTTGGGCTGTGTGTCATGGAGGTTCTCAGGGTCACCTACTTCTCACCCCTTCGTTGTTGGAGATACAGATGTAATGGTGTTTTAACTACTTGATAAACGTAAGAACTCAACCTAAAACTCTCTCTCTCCCTCCCCGACAGGTGCAGCCACAGGTGCAATAACAGCATCTCAATCCTGCAGCGTCAGAAGGCGGCGGCCAAGCTGGAGACGTGTGTGTGTGACGGGACGGAGGCCTTCGACTGTGCTGGCATTAAGCTGAACATGGCACGCCTCTGCTTCCACCAGTTTGACGAAGAGCAGCTTGAAAAGGAGGAGGAGGAGACTAACGAGGTGGATACAACCGCCGCCTCCAAGGCCAGGTTGAACTCTGCGCCGGGGCTCCGTACCGACCAAAATGTGCTGTGGTTGACGACGGTGGTGTACGCCCTTATCTCGGCTGTTGTTCGGTGGAGAAGATCAATATATTAGGTGAGATTATCCCTACTTTTTGTAGATTTAGATTAAGCATTGATTATTATCTCAGTGAAGGTTTTAATGGACTCATTAGTTCTTCATGGTTCGTGCTGCACAACGCTTCCTGCCAGGCTATATGCGGCTCGCCCTGGGTGGCGGCACCAGATGCAACACTAAATTTACTCAACTCAGAGCATGACGGAGAAGTAATAGTGTCACTACATTGGCCCCAGACACAATGCTGGCTTAGTTAGGCTTCGTGGAGGGTAAATGTCCTCAGGCAGCGTCGTAGCAGGAAATGCAAGCTGAGTGGATGAGTTATTGACGAGGAAATGCAAGCTGAGTGGATGAGTTATTGACGAGGAAATGCAAGCTGAGTGGATGAGTTATTGACGAGGAAATGCAAGCTAAGTGTACGAGTTATTGAAGAGGAAATGCTTGCAAAGTGGGTGGGTAATTGCTGAGGAAATGCTTGCTGAGATAGCCATCGCAGGATTTCATGTCTGATGACCTGATCAACAAGATTTTCTCACTTTACCTGCCAACCATTCTCTCTCTCTCTCTCTCTCTCTCTCTCTCTCTCTCTCTCTCTTACATAACACTAACCCAACTTGTTTCAACTCTCCAACACTAGATACAGAATCCCACCCACTCAGTAAGCAAGTCTTCTACTATATCCCACCCACTCAGCAAGCATTCCTCCTATTAAATCCCACTCAACAAGCATTAGATGTTTCTTTTCAATGACACAGTCAGCACGCCTTTCCTGTCACCAGCCATTGAGCATAGCTGTCATTCAATGGGTCTTTTTGGGGGGGAGGGGAAGGAGGGGGATCATGGCTTGTGATTGGAGTGTGTAACCGTGGAGGGGGGTGGGTGGGGGGCAGATTCTCAATGACTTATACGATTGTTCATTCAGTAAGATGTAACGAAGCGACGCTGATCATGTTAAGTAGTGGGGGTCTTGTGAGGTAGTTTGAATGTTTGGTGAAGTTATAACATGGGAGTGAGGAGGTGTTGAGTGGGAGTGAGGAGGTGTTGAGTGGGAGTGGGGAGGTGTTGAGTGGGAGTGAGTAAATATGCTGAGTGAGTGGTGTGTTGTGGTAAGACAATGCTCGGTGAGTGGCTCATGACGCAGATAAAGAGGAGAAACGACCCCTCCCTCTGAAGTAAACACTGGGAGATATTTTGCCGAGTTGGTGATTACTGCAGGTGACGAGGACAACAAGGTGTGTGTGTGTGTGAGAGAGATTTGCGTTATCCGTAATCCAATAACGATTATCAACAGTCCAGCCCGAATTATCCTTATCTCTACACGAATTATCCTACATTATCCACACTCCTACTTATAAAACCTCTCCCCTGACCGGACTAGAATATCCAGCAGGCGGTGTTGAGTGGCTGCGGTACTTATGTTGCTTCAGGTTTTTGCATCTCTCTGATGAAGCTGTCTTACCCCGCTGTGTGTGTGTGTGTGTGTGTGTGTGTGTGTGTTTTCTCTTTGTATATGGAAAAGGTTGTTAGTTTATCTACTATATCTATCTATCTATCTATCTATCTCAAAACACCACATCGCGATATCGGTAACAAAGAATCCAACGCCCCTCAAAAAAATAACGCGACAACCGCACAACTTCTCGCGAAAAACAAAAACAAAATAACAAACACTCGCGAAAAAGAGGAGATTGGCGACAAGATGGCGAGACGTGAGCCTTGTTTGTTTATATCGGCAGTGGATATCGCGAACCGTAACGAGAACGACCTAGGTGACACATGGTATTTCCTCACCCCTCTGAGTTACTGCCGTGGAGGGGGGGGGGGTAAAGAAGGTATGTATGGTGGGAAAAAGATAGGTAGGTGATGGTGTTGATGGTGAGGGATGGTGTTTGTGATGGTGGTAATAGTTTTAATGGATATAGGAAACTGCCTGTGATCAATATACCAAGGTGTGTGTGTGTGTGTGTGTGTGTGTGTGTGTGTGTGTGTGTGACAGGTGGGTTATAAGTTAGGTAAAAAAGGTATCCATTTGGTAGATGTCAAAGGTTAAAGTCACATCAATAAGAAAAAACGTAATACCTGTACATCCCTCAAGAAATTATTTAACGATATAAAGATAAAAATTAACCTGTGGAATCGAGTTATGTGTTGGAAATAAACCTTCAAGTTTATTCTTATATTGATAATTTGTAAATAAGAAAAACAAACAGGTTAAAAGAATACATCCTGATCTGCAGATGAACAAAGAATCATGTGTTTAATCCATCAGTTGAATTCGTTCTCACACCTTTTATTGGCCATTTGTAATTAAGTCACGCTCGTCATGGAATTACCAGACCATGACAGGTAAGGCAAGTAATAGACCAAGAACCAAAAGAAGTAGTTAAGTGTAGGTTGTGGGGCCCAGTTAGTAGACGCCAGGGGCAGAGGACACTGGTCAACCTGTCTCTGTGCTGCCAACTGTGAAATGTAAACAGTAGCTGTGTGTCTGTGGTGTTGCTCAAGTCCCACCAGAGCCTCAGAGGTTCTTACGGTGAATGTTTCTCGTAAATGAAGACACGAGAATGCACTTGTCTGGATAACTTAATCTGAAGCATAAAAACCGACATTACCTTGAAAATTTACCTTAACTAGATGCGTTCAATTAGCACCAGATAAGATACGAGGTGAGATAAAAGAATCATATCCTAAGATTCTCTACCGTGACTTTATCTTGGTGAGTGGTGCTAAGTGAACGTATCTAGTTAAGGTAAAATTTCATGTTAATATCCGAGTTAGTTTTGGTAGCTGTTGTTTTTTTGTCTTGGCTTCAGTCAGCCAGTTAAGTGCATTCTTACGTCTTCAGTTATGAGGAATATTAATCGTACAAACCTTTGAGAATTGGCTGCCAGAATTATTGCCAGTCATTCTGAATGTCATAATAACTTTACTCAAGATCTGTGGTGTAAGTAGAGTTTAATGTATGTTAAATATAACAATTGAGTGAATAATTTAGACGTGTTCAGTATATTCTTGGGGGAGGAAATTGTTCATTGAAAATTAAATGTCAGCAGAGTTGTGCGAGACACATATTGCAGTAGTGGGAGGCAGCAGTAAACCAACTCACCCTGACCAGATTGTTGCACATTCTGGCAAAATTCACTGACAGTCTAATTAATGAGTAAAATAATTGCATCGCTCTCTCTTAGCAACTTATTAAACGTTTCAAATTTACAACACTAAAATACAGCTTTAAGTTAACTGGTTTCATGAGGTCATATGTTCTTTATTGATGATCATGAGAGGATTGTAAACAAGCGATAGTTCTGAAGCCTGTGATGTGTAGGAGAAAAGTGTTTTACAAGCAAATAAAACGTCCGGAGGTGTGCAGTCTTCTGAGGGAGGGGCCGCTCGCTCATTATTCATATCGCACAGTTTGTTGTTTCATAAGCAACGCGTTTCTCCTGGCGATGGAGAAACGCATAAAGAGGGGGGTAAAAAATATATTATAAATGTCTTACTCAAGTGAAGACACAAACTTTTTAAAACTTTACGACTATTTACCTCTTTAAAGTCCATAAAGTAACATAGGTGCGGCAAACTCTGGTGGTTAAGTTTTACGATATTTACGAAGAGTTTGATGGTGTCAAAAGAACATAACAGTTGTCGATGAGTTTATGGTGACAAAAGGGAGTCACAGTTGACGAAAAAAGACTATGCTGACAAAAGAGCATCGGAGTTGACGAAAAGAGTTTAGGGTGACAAACGAGCATCACAGTTTACTCGCCATGTTTATGTGGAAAGATTTCATTGTTTTAGTAAAGATATACACCCAGTGTTACTTTAAAATACATAGACAAATGAGTATTTCCTCTGCGTAGTTCAGATGTATCTTTCTCTGTCACGGTGAAGCGTCTCGGGTTGAGTTTTGTTGAGATTGAAGAGAATTTTCTTGTGTGCGCGACAGTGACAGGATGATACAACAGGTCAAATTATTATGCTAGAGAACTTTTAACAGGGGGTTATATTAGGTATAGGAACCGGTTATATAAGAGAACAAAGCATAGGGTTATGTCAGTGAATATATAGTTACTGGTTATATTAAAGAACTCACAATAGCTGGTTATATTAGAGAACATACAGTAGTTATATTAGATAAAGCATTCCTCCATATGCTTCACCACACCCACGGATACTCCACCACCACCCCCGGATACTCCACCACACCCCCGGATACTCCACCACACCCCCGGATAAGAGGGGAAGGAGCGGTATACTTGGTTGAGGGGAACAAAAAGTTGGCGTAACAGAAATACCACGAGCACTTGGGAGAGTATTTCTGTCTGCCAACACCCGTGCTGGCCCGTAGCGACCAGCTGGTGCCCTCTTCCCTCCCCCCTCTCTCCCTTCTCTTTTTTTCCCTCCCTACTTTGCTTCTTCCTTCCTTCCTTCTTTCTTCCATCTCTACCCTCAGTCATCCTATTTTTCTTTCGTCCTTCCTTTCTTATTTTCTCCCTCTCGGTTGTCCTCTCTCCCTATCCCTCTTCCTCCCTTTCTCATACTCTGGGAAATCATCACTCGTTGTAAGGAGGTTCTCGCCACCACGTTTTGTGTTCGATTCCCACTTGGATCTTAGGTGAGAAGGGCGTCCACCACTATGTGTGACCTTTACCGAACCATCACACGTTTTCTTCGGGGTACTTCCGATGACCTATGATGACCTCTGACCCACGAAAATTATTGTCTGGATACACTGTTCAGTCATCATGGTGTTATATAGTTAATAAACAGAAAGACTCGATTGTACGATAACTGCCAGCTGCCGGTAGATGAGGGTGTTGGCTGTGTACGATTATTGCGTAGTGGTAAACAAGAGGAATTATTACCAGGGGAGAAACAGGTGTCGAGGAAACCCACTTCTGTTAGGTAAGTCTACAGGAGAAGAATATTTTGGGAAGGTATTTGAATCGTGGTGTGGTGGTGGTTGGTGAATTGTGGTGGTTTGTAGGTGGTTGGTGAATTGTGGTGGTGGTTGTACT